GGTTGTTATAATTGATCAAAGTTATAGTTGAATTGAGTATAAGATGAACAGTTGAATCTATAAGGTAGATATGATTGAGTTGACGGTCAAATTAATATTGGAATAACTATAGGTTTCTTTCAAACAACAATATTTTTCCATGTGAAAGTAACTATTAGGATTCTTAACTTAACGAATTTGTTCTCCGTGCTGGACGATTTGGAAAACCTATAATTTCGTGACCAACAAGTGTGACTTATGAAACTCTGGTAATTTCTCGATTATGTGCAGGATGTTTGGTTTGAATCGGTAAAAAGTGAGAAATCTAGAGCCAAAATAACTGCAATATTTAGGACAGAAAAATACGCCAGAGACGCAAAGGTAAATTTTCAAAAAAATTTGCATTTCAAATGAAAATGAATTATTTATTTTTTTAAATCTTGGCCAGTATTATTCAATAGAATCTCATAATGTTAGGGTATTTTATTATGTTCATTAATTACTATGAATTTATACTATACATAAATAACTGAAGATGATACAATTTTATTTTTTTTTTAAAGGTTACAAACGATACTCCTTTAGCTCAGTCGGTAAAGGCGCAGCTACAAAGCAAGTCCATGCTGGAGGCGACTGAGTTCGATTCCCGTCCGGTCTATTAATTTTTCGAGTTGGAAAATTTCTCTACTTTCTAGGGCATAGGATGGTACAGGCATAGGAAGCTCTCAATTAAAATGTGAAAGTACTTCAAAGTTGAGAGCAGGCAAAAATCTAATATGCTAAAAGCAATAAGCTTGAAATGCCATGCAGTAGTATGCAAATGCAATTTTTAGTCAATGAAAACAGTTTTTTTTGTCGCGGATTAGTATTTGAAGTCGCGGATTTCTTTCGAGAAATCGCGGATTTCGCGGATCATATTTAGAAAATCTTGTAACAGCCCTGCATTTTGAATACTCACGCCTTATTTTTCAAAATTACGTGTTCAAAAAAAAATTACGAGTTGCGTGAATTACGGGTTGAAGTTGTGACCGGGCATATCTTAGGTATATAAAATACGCTACGAGGGGGAGGGGTTCAAACATTGGTCAAACATATACTACGTCATTTATGGATGATCCCCTATCGATCAATTGAAATCAAAATCGATCGAGAAATAATAAAATGGAAGAGAACAATCTTAGCTACGCAAATATTAATGCTGTTTAAAGGCTTGTAATAATTAGCAGTGCTGAATAAAGGCTTATTAGTGCTAGCGTAATTGGATTGAAGTTTAACCGTTGAAAGGAGGATTGCTTGAGTGTAGTTTTCAAAACTGCTTACAGGTGTAATGGCTCTAATGTTGGCCTGTGGATCTAAGATTGGGCCCTTCGCTAAAAATCTGCCTTTTTATCAATTTTATCTAGATGAACGCGTAATTGGGACGGTACTAATGGATATTTTTGGTTGCTATTGAAAATTTAGTCGATTGCTGAATTTATGTATGGGCCCAAATTAGGGACACTTAGGCCGACATTACATACATTTCCCCTATATGAAATACATATTTTCACGAAAACAAACGTTTAAAGCTCATCAACCCTTGACAAATATTATTTTTTTAGTGAATTGTAGAGTCGTGTAATTTGCACAACGATCATCAAGCTCATGAATTTACCTATCATCCTTACAACTTAGCATTATCAAGAATTATACGGCTCATATTCACCCCTCATGAGTACGTGCAAACCGATCGTGTCACCTCATATTTCAACCACTCCACTTCAAACCACTGCTGCGAAATTTTAATTCACACCTTCCTTCACCCGTCGCCCACTGACGACAGATATCCATAAACCACGAGCCGCCACGAGACGTCCGCCCCCGGTAAACTGCCAAAAACCCAACCATCACACCCCGTAATTATTCGTAAATCTCAATTGAAATCTAATCTAATCTCGGCCCCGGATACCACTACTGCTGCAGCAGGCAGACAGCCCGAACACACATGCAATCTGTTTCGCTCGCCGTCCCTTGGATGTCAGAATTCACCAGTCGGGAGAGTGTGAATAAAGTCCCCTCTTAGCCTATACAAGCACATAAACATGCAGATAGAAAAAAATAGAGGGGGAGTAGTAGGCCTGCGTCTCCGGATCGTATGCAAAGAGCGTGTGTCTCAAGAGCTTCTTGGATCGTTGACTTCGCTCCGAATTCACCTCCACCCTCACCAGGTACACACTGCCTTACGTATGCAAAATCCTTCTGTTGGGGGTAATAATGACTTTTTGGCCTGGGGGGCATGTTAAATTTTAATCCTTCGACAGCAACGGGGAACGAGGTTTCCTTCCGGAGGGCCAGATGTCAGATTTTTGCTACTGCTGCTTCTGCAGTCTCTCAATTTAAGGGTGCGGGAAATTAAGGGAATACAAATGAAAGTAGACCCAAAGTCGACGGGCCCCATTCTGCTGGTACCACGGTACTGTGCATATGAATAATTAAAAGACTGCTTGTTTTTGGGACTCGGTGTAGTAAATTGCTGGTGGGTTATGAATAATTCAAATTGTTTCTTTAAGTGGAAAAGGAATCACAAATTTCAAAGCCTTGACAACTAAACTTTTGGATGAATCCGAATATGTGTGTATTGGCGACACTGCTGTCAAAATTGCTTAAGTCACTCAACAAGTATTTTACTATAACTTAGAAGTTGTAAAGTTGAATTATCTAGACAACATATTTAATTTCGCTGTTTGACAGTAAACTAACAGATGCCAAGATGTTGATTTTTTTCTAATGTAATGGCATTTATTTAAAATAGTTCCACCGTCTCAAAATTGGATTTCTCTTCCATTTTTAATGCAGATTACGAATGTGAATTTACCGCAATACCTTTAAAGAACCCAATTGGCAATCCTATTCCTCAAGCTTCCAGTAACCCCTCGTTTCAACACTTCATTCTGTCTCCTCAAAGCACCACAAGAAGCGTTTTGTTTTGATCCTGCTCAAAGCACGTCGTGGGGCCATTTTTCAAAACGCTTTCCTTTCTTCTCACATGTTGCCGCCCGCCAACAGCCTATCTTGCAGGCGAAATCACCTCGCAGGAACCCTCTTCTGCGGGCAGTAAACTTCTCTGCTGTTTTCGAATGATTCATCAGCCTGTGTGTTTTAAAACGTAAAAAGGAAACACTTGTCCCGCCATGACAACATCGCTAGAGTGGGTGGATGGATGGTGCTGCTAAATTGCAGGTGGCGCCTGCGCTGTATGCAAATTTGGTTGATCGAAAAACAACTGCCGTGTTCACAGACTTGAAGGCTAGACTACTTCCTGCCTTACCACTGGTCGCCAGTCAAGTTCAATGTTTTCAATAGTGAAGTTCACGACGACTTACAGCTACTATTAGAGAAGGGGTCGTCGAGCTCTCTTGCAGCAACGGTTGGCTGAGGCGGACAACATAGCACAATTTGTAAGTATTTTACCATCCAACGAAAGACTTCATTAGCGCTGCTGTTTTCGGAAAATATTGCCAAAAAAATGGCCATTTAGCTGGCGTCAGGGTTGTAAATCATCACCCAGCTGACAGCTCGCATGGGGTGTCGAATGATTTGTGATATTTGTTTTTGAGGTTGGTTATTCTTTCTGGAAAATACCGGAGATCTAGTTGTTACAATTTTTCGCTATGGCAACGAATTTCGGTGCGGGCATTGTTTTCGGACAGCATCCACATCCCCCTCGGTGATTTATGGCGCGCCAAAACCGTTGTTTACGTTCTAGTGTCATCTGTGCTGGTGCGATCGAAAATGGACTGTTGGATGATTTACTGACTGACTGCTGAAAATCGTTCATTTCCTCTGCTGTAGCAGCAGCAGCACGAAAACAAAAGGGAGATACACGTCACAAGTACGGATCATAACCTCATTATATATATACCAACGCGAATGTGTGTCTGTTTGTCGTTGGCTTGGTCGCGTGGTAACCCTGGTCGAGGGGTGATTCGCTAATTTGCTCTTGGCTTTAGTTTTGGAAAATGGAACTTGCTTGATTACCGAAATTTCGCTTCAATTTGCATATATGTGGAAAAACTAACGACACCAAATAACCTTTGAGCTACCCCTCGTTTCCGGGTAATTTTCTCCAAGTCAAACTCAGCTGTGGTGGAATTGGATCATTACGGTCAAAGCTCCATCCGCCGTCGTCTCGTCGTCGCGAGTACATGAATAGCTGTAAAACAGCTGACCTTGAATCACTCTTATTTTTCTTTTGTTACCTTCCGATGCGGGCTCGTCTGTAAATAAAATAATTAAAAACACACCGCGTTTCATCGCATGCAGTCGTTTTCGTAAGCAGTAGCAGCAGCACTAGTCTCAAACGGGTTCAAAAGCGAAAGCTTTTGTTTTGGTGCCTCTCCTCTGCAGATTTATTTTGGGTTCTTTTGTTTAACGCTTCTTGGTTTTTTGGTTCCTTCTCCAGGGGTGCTTGATGAACTGAAAACAAAAATTGGCGACGAGGTTAAGTTACTGCGTGAAATCAGCTGTTTGTTTATGACGCTTTGTCCAACGGATTTCTCAAAACTAAAAAGAAACCGGATCAATCATAAATACTTCAAAATCAATCAGTTGCTTCCTTTGAGTAAACTTTCTTTCCTGAAAAGCAAAGAAATTGCGCATTTTTCCTCTTCTCTATTACCAAAAAAAATCCGACACCCAGAATAGATCCCTCTCAATCCTGAAGCCCCTTTCTGTCATTTAGTTAATAATGCGCACGGAATTCACTTTAATGTACTTCTCCCTTCGCAGCAGAAAAAAAAAATCACATTTCCTTTTTCAAAATCCGAACAAAAGAGAACAAACCTGAATCGATTTCCGAAAAAAAAGGGGGATTCCACTTTTATTCGCTCGCGCTTCCAAGATTCGGTGTTTATGATTTATTGCACCACCGTGACAAATCAATTACGGTGTGACGCCTAAATAACTGCTATTTGGAAAAAAGAGTAACCTAACCTCAAATTTACGTTTCATTTTCCTTCTTCTTCTTCGTTTTCTTCCTACAGTTTGCCGCCTGGGTCGATGCGGTCATCTTTGTGTTCAGCCTGGAGAACGAGCAGAGCTTCAACGCCGTGTACACCTACTATACCAAAATGTCCCACTACCGGAACAGTTCGGAGATTCCGATCATCCTCGTCGGGACGCAAGGTTTGTTTGCCCCACAAAAGGCGGTTCCTGAATTGGTTTTACTTGACCTTTGATTCATTTCAGATGCCATCAGCGAACGATCGCCACGGGTCATCGACGATGCCCGAGCACGGAAGCTGGCCCAGGATCTCAAGCGGTGTTCGTACTATGAAACATGCGCCACCTACGGGTTGAATGTGGAACGAGTCTTTCAGGATGGTGAGTTCAGTAATCGAATGTTGCTCGGTGTGGCATCTTCCTAACTTATTACTTTGATTTAAAGCTTCGTAGAATGCAGGATGGTAAATTAGAAGATTTGAATATAATTTCGAAACTCAAACAGATAATAGGATTCTTGAAGATTCTCATCCAAGACTTTTCAAAGATTTCATATTAGGTCTTGGAAAATCTCAATCTAAACTCATGATAAAAGATTTCTTTCGGAAATGACGAATTTTCTTCAATCCTGATGATGTGTGGATTACCTGTATGAAGATAGAGAGAAAGATGAGTAATTTCCATTTAATTCTGCTACCTTATTTGCTTATCATTGCCCGATACGCGTATTTCGTCTACAATGTGCAAACTTCTTCAGTGTCTTGTACTTGAGTCGAGTACACTGAAGAAGCCTGTACATTTTAGACGAAATACGCGTATCTGTCAAGGATATGCAAATAAGGTAGTGGAATTAAATGAAATCTTCTTCGATTTAATATAAGATCATGTTTTGAGTATCAATATCGAATGTTCTGTGATTCTCAGTAAAACTGAAAAAAAATATTTTAAGGACATGATTGATAGAATCCACAAATGACCGCTATCACGACTGGTTTTACAAGGCAAATCAGTCATGACGACAACCATTTGTGGATTTTGCGGATCAGCCTTGTCCTTAACACTTACGTGTCTGCCCAAGTAACAATTTTGATTTTATGAAGGTTATGTAGACCATGATTTAGACTTGTAGCATGCTTTAAAACCACTATAAAACTTGAAAATCTGTGATTTCATTTTCTTGTCCGAATCTTGAACCGAATCGAAATTTCAACCGGATTGGATGCAACCTTTTGCCATAGAACTCAAATTTGTTCCAGTTTTTGGAACATTCCGAAATTTTGCGTATTTATTGAGGGGAACTGGAGGGTAAGTACCCTTGCATGGATAGTGGCAATGCTTTCATGGTACATTTTGGGCTTGTTACTTACTGATTTTTCATATGTGTGCGTCATGTCCACCTGTGTCCCTCTAACAGGATTGACACATTTTTTTTTAACTAGTTCGTTTATTTGGAAGGCTCAATCGCGTTAGCTTTACGGAGTCGATACTTCATTGTTCTTTGTTTGTAACAGAATTCACTTAATTCTATGTCTAGTAGGAGTTGGGTCGAATACTCGCGGCTTACTCGAGGTTAGAGAGGTACATTGTCGAAGGATAGGATCAGGGGAAGAGCTTGGGGGTAAGGTTTCGTTGTCTCATCAGAGCGTTGTCGCCAGTTTGAACGGTAGTGCGGTTCTAGTTTCGTCTGGAGTTCGACCGGCTATGGTGACCAGTGAGCAACGATGAGACTTAAACTCTTATACTAGACATTTGAAGAAACACATAAACCGACTGCATATAGCAGATATCGCGAGTTCCCAACACGTCTCTGATAGGAACATAGGGTTGTCTTCCTTGGGCCTCAAGGGTATTCAAAAGTCGCTCTCTGGTGGCGTCATTATCCGTACATTACCAAACTGCGTGATCGATGTCATCATAACCGTTTCCACACCGACAGATGTTGCTGTCCACGAGGTTTATTCTATTGAGATGAGCATCTAGCGAGTAGTGGTTAGACATAAGTTAGACACGCGAATGAAGTCACGACTTAAGTCCAATCCTTTAAACCACGTTCTCGAAGAAACATGGATCGACACATCAAATCACATGAAAATTTAGAAGGGCATATTGTCTTAGCCACTGGCCCTACTCTTGAACAGTCAAGCAGATGGCTAGCTTTAGAAAGAAGAGGAAGAAGATAATTTAGAAATAACATGGTTGGTTAGCATAATAAATACAAAGGACCCAAGAGGGATTCTGAAGAATATTAAGAAAGATTTCTTAAGTATTAGACATTTTTCTTATGTTTTCAAAACTCCTCTAGAGCTTCCTGCAGATCTTGTAACTTCTAGATGGTTCCCGATTTTTTTCCTTAAACTTATGGAACTGCCTTGCAAATCTGCCATAAAATCATCGGAACTTGCCTTAAAGTGGTTTCGCATTTTCCCGATGTTCATGGATCTTCCTTGAATAATCCGCAATTTACCTGAAACTCTCGGAACTTTACGAAAATTTCCTGAGTTTTTCAGAACTATAATTTCATTGGAGCTCACTGAACTGCCCTGTGGTTCCCTGATCTTCTCTGATGTTCGTGGAATTTTTCCAAAATTCTCGCAATTCTCCTGAAGAGCTTCTCTGTAGAAGTTCTATAATTTCATTGAAGTTAATTGAACTGCCCTGAGGTTCCCTGATCTTTTCTGATGTTCGGAGAATTTTCCCCCAGTTCTCAAAATTCTCCTGAAAATATTCTCTGTAGCTCGTAAATGAATGGAATTGGAATGGCACTTTACTAAGGTTTCCGGAAATTTCCTGAGTTTCCCAGAACTTCCAGTAGCCTTATAATTTCATTGGAGCTAATTGAAGTGCCCTGAGGTTCTCTGATCTTCTCTGATGTTCGTGGAATTTCCCCAAAGTTCTCGCAATTCTCCTGAAGAGATCCTCTGTATCTCTGAAGGTAATGGAATCGGAATGGAACTTTACTGAAATTTCCGGATATTTCTTGACTTTCTTAGAACTGCCAGAAGTCCTATAATTTCATTGGAGCTAATTGAACTGCCCTGAGGTTCCCTAATCTTCTCTGATATTCGTGGAATCTACCCAAAGTTCTCGCAATTCTCCTGAAGAGCTTCTCTGTAGCTCTGAAATGAATGGAATTGGAATGGCACTTTACTAAAGTTTTCAGAAATGTCCTGAGTTTCTCAGAACTTCCAGAAGTCCTTTAATTTCATTGAAGCTAATTGAACGGTCCTGAGGTTCCCTGATATTCTCTGATCTTCGGAGAATTTTCCCAAAGTTCTCGCAATTCTCCTGAAGAGCCTCTCTGTAGCTCTGAAATGAATGGAATTGGAATGGAACTTTACTAAGGTTTCCGGAAATTTTCTATGCCAGAAGTCCTATAATTTCATTGGAGCGGATCTTCTCTGATATTCGTGAAATTTTCCCAAAGTTCTCGCAATTCTCTTGCAGAGCTTCTCTGTAGCTCTGAAATGAATGGAATCGAAATGGAACTTTACTAAGGTTTCCGGAAATTTCCTGAGTTTTTCAAAACTTTCAGAAGTCCTATAATTTTGTTGGAGCTTACTGAACTGCCCTGAGGTTCTCTGATCTTCTCTGATATTCGAGGAATTTTCCCAAAGTTCTCGCAATTCTCCTGAAGAGATCCTCTGTATGACTGAAACTAATGGAATTAGAATGGAACTTCACTAAAATTTCCGGAAATTTCATGACTTTCTTAGAACTTCCGGAAGTGCTATAATTTCATTGGAGCTAATTAAACTCCCCTTAGGTTCCCAGATCTTCTTTGATATTCGTGGAATTTTTTCAAAGTTCTCACAATTCTCATGAAAAGCTTCTCTGTAGATATCCTATGATTTCATTGGAGCTAATTGAACTGCCCTGAGGTTCCCTGATCTTCTCTGATGTTAGTGGAATTTTCCTCAAAGTTCTAGCAATTCTCCTGAAGAGCTTCTCTGTAGCTCTGAAATTAATGGATTTGGAATGGAACTTTACTAAGGTTTCCGGGAATTTCCTGAGTTTTCAGAACTTTCAGAAGTCCTATAATTTCAATGGAGCTAATTGAACTGCCCTGAGGTTCTTTGATCTTCTTTGATGTTCGTGGAATTTTCCCAAAGTTCTCGCAATTCTCCTGAAGAGATCCTCTATAGCTCTGAAAGTAATGGAATTGGAATGGTACTTTAGTAAAGTTTCCGGAAATTTCCTGACTTCCTCAGAACTTCCAAAAGTCCTTTAATTTCATTGGAGCTGATTGAACTGCCCTGATGTTCCCTGATTTTCTCTGATATTCGTGGAATTTTCCCAAAGTTTTCGCAATTTTCCTGAAGAGCTTCTCTGTAGAAGTCCTATAATTTCGTTGGAGCTTACTGAACTGCCTTGAGGTTCTCTGATCTTCTCTGATGTTCGTGGAATTTTCCCAAAGTTCTAGCAATTCTACTGAAGAGCTTCCCTGTAGCTCTAAAATAGATGGAATTGGAAGGGAACTTTACTAAAATTTCCGGAAATTTTGTGACTTCCTCAGAACTTCTAGAAGTCCTATAATTTAATTGGAACTAATTTAGATTCCCTGATACTCTCTGATATTCGAGGAATTTTCCCAAAGTCCTCGCAATTCTCCTGAAGAGATTCTCTGTAGCTCTGAAATGAATGGAATTGGAATGGAACCTTACTAAGGTTTCCGGAAATTTCCTGAGTTTTTCAGAACTTTCAGAAGTCCGATAATTTCATTGGAGCTAATTGAACTGTCCTGAGGTTCTTTGATCGTCTCTGATATGCGTGGAATTTCCCCAAAGTTCTCGCAATTCTCCAGAAGAGATCATCTGTATTTCTGAAAGTAATGGAATTACTGAAATTTCCGGATATTTCCTGACTTTCTTAGAACTGCCAGAAGTCCTATAATTTTATTGGAGCTAACTGAACTGCCCTGCGGTTCCTGATCTCTGATATGCGTGGAATTTTCCCAAAGTTCTCGCAATTTTCCTTAAGAGCTTCTCTGTAGAAGTCCTATAATTTCATTGGAGCTAACTGAACTGCCCTGCGGTTCCTGATCTCTGATATTCGTGGAATTTTCCCAAAGTTCTCGCAATTCTCCTGAAGAGATTCTCTGTAGCTCTGAAATGAATGGAATTGGAATGGAACCTTACTAAGGTTTCCGGAAATTTCCTGAGTTTTTCAGAACTTTCAGAAGTCCGATAATTTCATTGGAGCTAATTGAACTGCCCTGAGGTTCTTTGATCTTCTCTGATGTTCGTGGAATTTTCCCAAAGTTCTCGCAATTATCGTGAAGAGTTTCTCTGTAGATGTCCTATAATTTCGTTGGAGCTTACTGAACTGCCCTGAGGTTCTCAAATCTTCTCTGATGTTCGTGGAATTTTCCCAAAGTTCTAGAA